TCTGTGATTCTATGATTCTATGATAATACATGTCAAGGGTGGGGAGGGACCAAGATGTATCTGGGGGCAACACATGGGAGCCAGACATGCATCCAGGAAGATGTGGGACCAGGATGTGTGTTTGTGGAGGGCAGCTATCTCAGACCAGGGCCTCACAGACTCAGGGCATCCATCCATCCATCCATCCATCCATCCATCTCTCTGTCTCTTACCATCTCCCTACAGGGTGCTGGCTGTTCAGGCAGGGCAGCACACCAGTCAGTGTCCACAGGGTCCTTGGGGAGAGGTTACAGTGGGACATCAGTGCTAAGGACAAGGCTGGGAGGGACAGCAACCCCAGGGGGGTAGTTTCTGGTCTCCTGCCTATGACTGGCCTTCAGAATCATCTGAACTGTCCTGGACGAAGGGGCTGTATCAAATGGATCATGGGGACCATATGGAGATCACTTGCACTGTATGGATCACGCAAGAGCAATTTAGGCCACGTGGACTGTTACAGACCATGTGGAGACCACAGGAAATCACATTGACTGCATAGACCACACGAGAACCCCAAGGGGAGTTAGACAGGAGACTGGGCCAGGAAAGGTGCCCCAGAAAAGGAGGCGGCCAAAGAGCACCCTGCTGCAAAACTTCTCCTACCCCATGATATCTCCAAGGGAGACCAAAAGGGCTGAAGGGGGCAGAAAGAAAAGGGTAGAGAGGGTCTAGAGGGGACCACATGGGGCAGCCGAGAGCCCTGGAGGAGTCCAGTGGCCACTTCTCCTTTTGCCCCTAGATTGCAGCGATATAAACACCATCCGCCTAGCCCTGAGCCCTGCAATTTTATTCCTGCTCGGGCCAGCTGTGGCAGAGATTGTGCACAGTCAGAGGAGGGCAGGACGTGCCTGCCTGCAGTTTGCAGGAGGGCAGGGAGCTACAGATGCTGCAGCCTTCAGCAGTGTGGGATCCCTGGACAAGCTGCCACCTGTCCTACACAGCTCCAGTCCCATAACAACATCCTTTCCCTGCTCTCCTCGCTTCCACATCACCCAAACGTGCAAGCAACTTCCCCTGTTTAATTATCCCTTCGTTATTGCCAAAGGGAGCTCTGTCTACACCACTGGCCAACCCAGACTAGATGGCAGCCGAGGAGGCTGGAGGCCAGGCTCCAGGTGGGTCAGAAGTGAGCAGTTATTTGGAGTAAGGACCTTGCCACTGCTCCTGCATAGGACTGGGGAGGCCTGGATGGATGAGGAACAGGGCCAACCCTGTGGGGTGGATCCAGACCTACAGGTAGGAGATATTGCTGTCCCTCCTCCAATGAAAGACACTATAGGCCAGGTGGGATGAAACAGCCCCTAACGAGGCCAAAAGGGAAGCTAAGTTACTTCCCTCTTATTCCACTCTGGAGCCACCAAACCTGCCCCACAGCCATGGGGAAGAGCACAGCCTGGACAGCCTACGGCTGGACCCAGTGTCCTTTCCCCCTCCACCACCTGGTCTGCACTGCGGCGGGGGGCACCATGCAGGGTTTCTGGGCATGACGAGGGGGCATGACATGGTGCAGAGGTCTTCCTGGACCTCGGTGAGAAAGGCCTGTGTCGTGGTTTAACCTGGCAGGCAGCCAAATACCATGCACCTGCTCACTCACTCCCCCCCACC